TGAACGAAAATAATTTCCACGAAACTACTACGAAGAGGAGGATAAGAGAAGTATAAGCGTTGGTCGTCGGATCGTGAGATAGAGGCAGAGAGGGCCGAACGGGGGTAAAGAGAGTTTCGTGTGGAGGAAAAAAAAAAGGAAAAAAAAAAAATGAGGACAAAGAAGGAGGAGAAGAAGAAAAGGGTGGTGGAGGCAGGGGAGGTAGAAAGACCGCGGAGATGCGAGGCGCGATGAGAAGGAACGGACGTAGTAAAAGGAGGTGGAGTAGAAGAACGGAGAGACGTTTAAAAGAACCTCAAAGAGTATAAAGACCAAGTGATAATCGGTCAGAGACCCTCCACCGGGGCCAGACGGCTATGCACTCGGTTGGAGTGCCAGGGCAGACAACGGACAGACGTACGGACGTGCACAGGAACGAACGGACAGACCGAAGCAACCAGAACATATTGTGATGGCCTGCTGCACAGGCCTGCTCTCTTTCCTTCTCTTTCTCTCACTCTCTTTCCCTTTCTCTCTTCCTCACCTCTCCCTCCCCTCTCTGGTTTTCTCCTTCTTCTGGTTCACTCTTCTGGTACACTCCAGGCCATTGCCATTCACCGGCATGTCTCGTCTCTCATTTTCCAAGCCCGTTGCTCTGCCTCCTCTCTCCCTCTTCTTCTCTTTTCTTCGAGCCTGCTCTCTCGTCTCTTTTCTTGCGTTGCCTGACCCCTTTGCTCCTTGCATTTTTCTCTTTTCCTTTTTTCTTATTCTTCCTTTCTTTCTTCTCCCTTCTCTTCTTATTTTTCGCCTTCTTTGCTCACTTTTTTCCCCTCTTTTTTACTCCTCGCTTCTTTCCATTTCGCTCCTCTTGTACTTTTTTTGAGGGAGGAAAGAAATCAGAGAGAGAAATGATATTTAATAAAGCGAATAATGCGAGGGAAATTCAGTTGATTTTCATTTTCCATTGCTCAGGGAATTTAATTAAAATATCTTTAAATCGTTTAGATAGAAACGAAGGACTCGTGATAGAAACGATTTTCTTCTTTCGTTCGAATATTTTAGTTTGAAATTATCAAAATGTTGCAAATATTTATTTTGTTTTTGTATAAATGCAAGATTTAAAGCAATGAAAAATCTATCCTTTCGATTGCCATTCAAGAAACCTTTTAACAATTGTTCAAAAGGCTATAAAATTTACGCCATAATACCGTACTCTATTTGAATTACCAAGTCTTAGAGTAACCGTAGAGGATAGTGACGCATGGTATGAATGTTTATAGCAAATGACTGGCAATGAGTATCGAATGTTAGACATGCATGGAAGGATGAGTCGTTTGAGATTAGGGTGCAAGAAGTGTGCATGACCACCCAACGTTCCGGACGTGACCGTATGTATCTTGGGAATGTCTGCATGTTTTTCTGAGGGAAAGAGATTTTAAAAGATTATAAAAGATATAACCCTACTTTTTCATCTCACTCTTGGAAATAACTCTTAACGAAAAATTTCATGACGAGATCATTTGTATTCCAAAAAAAAAAACAATTGATATCATCAAAAATATAAAAAATTACAGAAATAAACCACCACACAAAAATTAAAATTACATGAAATTAATCTAAAATTCTATTTTAACTATGACAATTAAAACATATTAATTCTTGAGGAATATCTTATAGATTTCAAATGGATCAACGAATCCACTCATCTCCATCGTGCAATGAATAATCAACTAATTCATCAATCGCACACAGACATCAAACATTTCTCCATGCACAATGAACTCAATTTCCACTCTCCACGAAGAGTCTACCTACATGCATGCGTTCTAGGCTTATATATCCTTTGGATGTTTCTCAACGTTCTTACAGAATTAATGTTCTGGACGCTCGTCCAGGTGGAGAAGGATCTTTAAGCGTATTCTTCTCGCGCGCGACGATCAAGGCTGCACCGACCCTGCGTTCTCAGACAAGACGGCGCGTTTTGTAGAAACACGATCGCAAGAGCGTGGATAGCCACGGAGTGGTGGGTTTCTCTGGACAATGTACGAGACACAGTCGGGCTAGGAACGAGACTGATTGATGGAGCAGAACATTCCTCGTGGTTGGTTTTCGATGAAAAAGAATTCACGCACTCAAGTCGAAACGGTTCTAAATTCAACGTAATGCGTTTACGTGTCATGTGATGTCGTGATTTTGGAAATCGGAGAGAATCGTCGAAAGCTATTGCGGAATATATGCAGGATAAAATATAAAATACTGCTTTCCACCAAGTTCAAGAATAATATCCCTTACGAATTAAATACTTGTGAGATTCGATTCCTCGAACTTTCTATGTTTCAAGAAATCATTCGAAAGTCGAAAGTTAACTCAGTTCTCAAAACTTTCCACGAAATAATTCCAAAATTTGTACGAGAGATCAGAGAGGACCTCGATCCTACTCTCTCGAAGTTTCTTTTTCCTGTCCAACCTGTCGTTTATCCAGCAGTGCAGTGGTTCGACCGCGTCATACCGCATTGGAAACGAGGCCCTGGCCCATCACGAACCTTCCCCGCTCGTCCTGTTATTATTCCATCAAATACCAGAAGGCAGCCAAGGGCGTAGAAGGGATGGTCAAAGGGGAAAGGGAGTAAGAAAGAGAGGCAGAGAGGACGGTGAAACTGGATGAGAAAGTGGAGGCTCCGGGCAAGGGCTTCTCTCTTTCGAGCAGCCTGAATTTTTGCGGCTGTTTTTTACAGTTACACCTGCCGTTCCCGAACCACTGATCGCAAACGTCACGCACAACGTCGTATCGCTTCGTACTTCATGCGTGGAACATGAGGACAGGCCTTGTATACGAATACGCTGGGCAGGGTGGCTGGTGATGCTGCCGAGTTACCAAGCGACACTGGCCAAAAAAAGAAAAACGAAGGAGGAGAGGGCGGCCAAAACTGGAAAAGGGGGAGCTGAAAAGAGCGATCGAGTGATCGGTCTAACGACGAGACCGCGAAAGGGAATATACAGTTGGCGACGAACCCAGACGCGTGTATACTGCCTCTCGAAGTTGTTCTTTCGAAGTCAATGAACTTGTCGATTATGCGAAATCAGCCGGGGCCTCTCGCTTAAATATTCAATTAAACGGCCGGATGAAATTTATACGCGACCGGCATCGAACGATCGGCCTTTGGAATCGGGCGTATCGTGCCACGTGTTCCATATCTGCTCGAAAAAGCTTGAATTTCGTTCTTTTCGATTAATTGTACATATATCACGCGCGAATAGATTATACGTAGATGGATTGTGTACGATGATTTGTTTTAGCTACGCTTCTTTTCTTGATCTCTTCTTACGTATCTTCTAATAATATTCAAAACGAATTAAAATTAAATTGCACAATTTTCTTTTTTAGAAAAGAACGTGTCACTGATGCAGGGCAGATGAGGTGATGTGTTTTAGAAATGATGTAGGCAATAGAATCCATAGATCGATGGATTTGAGAGTTATACTGCATCAAAATTAAAAGAACATTAACATTCGCACAAATATCTCAAAAATAATATATCCTTTGGATTTAATGTATTGCATTATCAAGCAAATTAACATATTTATTAACATATTTAGTAATTATTCCGATATCTATACCATCCATTCATAAACTAAAATCATTATTAATACTCGTACCATTATTCTCAAATTAATCACGAAATAAATCAAAAATTTAACATAACTAAAATTAGAAAATTGATTTTAAAGTTTTGATCAATGTACATATCTTGACACGAATATTTGCAAAAGATAGTAAAAAAATACATAGTTAAAAAGACACCGATACAATTTCTGGTATCGAACAAACATTTCATTGACTTTTCACGTTCGTTTCTTTCTTTTCTCGTCTCGTATTCGTTGTTATCTGTTAATAACTGAAATATTTGCAGCGAGCTCTTTCGAAGCGTCGCGACTTCGCGCGGACAAATAACGCGTCACTCTTTGTACTCATCGCGCGACCACCACTTTTTCCTTTCCGCAATTTCTCGCGCATCACCGGTACACCTGTTGAATGATCCCCTTTACGAGTTCGCTACACGAATTACAGTCTCGGAATCGTTCGATCGTTGCCGATTTTTCTTGCAATATCGATGTCGTAATATCGATAATTAAAATTTATTATAATTAGAAATGCAATTTTCTGTAATTTCATAGTAACAAAGTTACTATAAACGATGATTTAATTAAATTTGAAGACTTTTTTAGAATATTTAGAAAATTACTTTTTGTTAGATAAGAATAACTTTAACTAAGATTGGCTAATTTTAATCCCTCCGTTCAAATATCAGGTATAATTCTAATGCAAATCCCAATAATTCAAACGATTTTACAACCTACTTACATATATGCTACGTTTCTTCTTTATCAGTACGAGGGCCAAGATGAAATCGAGACATCCTATGAAGAAGCTTGCGATCGGATCCAGAAAACGTTCGATACCATCGTGCACCCCGAAGAGAGGCGACTCGTCGATTTCCCTTTTGACCCAGGAGGAGGGGAAAAAAACCGTTTCACGATGCAAGAATACCTTTTTCCTCCCTCGATCTAGGCGGCTGTCTCCGCGACGCGACGGGATATATATGCATGATTCCAGAAAATTGAACGGCTCCACGTCTGACAGGGGGCATCTATTCAACTGTACGAAGCAGACGGTGCACGCTCGTTGAAAAATACATGCCCCCCTCTCGTATCGTATACGAAAGCTCGCCGGGCGTCGAGGGCAAATTGGATTATCGGCGATCAAACACGGAATCCGATCAAATCGCTCGGAAAGGGCTTCATCCTTCATCTTTATCGGTTCAACGCCGTCGCCTGCCCGTCACACATGCCCTCCCCTTCCGTACAATTCTTCCTGCTGATTGCAAAATTCCGCATTCTGCCGACAGATCACCGGACGAAGATATCCAGATCCCGTCTCAAACGCGTTCAAATCACATTAATCCTGGCGATCGTCGATCGATCGTGGCCGATAATTAAATGATCGAGTTTTATTATTTGATTTATGCTAATCTAGTAACTATTTCCCTCGATTTCTCCTGAAAACAGGTTAATTTTATTAGAAATGGACAATTCTTTCAAGATTTTTAATATCTTTTGATATTTTTATAACGATCCTTCGAACTTTTATTATCTTGCAATCACATCGATGTGTACATTTGTGTAGATTAACGCGATGCAAGTTTTCAACTGAAAATTATAATCGTACATTAATAAAATGATCTTCTATGTGTTAATACAATATAATATTGCAATTTATAATCGATCTTAAGAGAGATACGG